AGTGCAGAGAGGGACTAAGGTAGATCAGCAAGGGAACTAGAGCACCAAAAAGTCACATCAAAATGTTGTTACCACCACAAAGAAACAGGGCCTTATTTTGCCAGGATGTAAAACTGGAATAAGCCACAATGGAATCAGACTAGAAAACTCCACCTGTAGATTTGAGAGTCAGAAATCTAGGAAATCAGCTATCTATTTAGTACGTGGGTGTTGTAGGTAGGTATATATGGTAGGAACCATGGAAATACTGCTTTATAGTGTGTATACCTCGGACTGTAAAGCTCAGCATAATACCAGTATTATGCGCTGGTGCCATGGCATCTCCTCCTCCTAGGCTCCCACTAAAACAAAGAGGAGTGGAGCACACATGGGGAGAGGTGAATGCACCTTGCCGGCTGGTAGAAGCAGGATTAGGATGGGTTGTTCGGGACCATCCCGTAGGCTTCATACAGCTTACTGAGAAGCTCCTTCTTTTCTTTCTTAGGCAGGAAGCTGGACTGAGCTGCATTGATGTTCTGGGAGGAAAAGAAAAATACAGCTATAGCTGGGGAATACCCACACGTGTGAGTGTGGGGTTGTGTGTGCACAAATCTTTGTGCATCAGTGAGTGTGAGCTAGTGAGTGAGTTGGTGCAAGTCAAATGAGCACTTTTGTTAGCACTGCTACTCTTGAGCTCTTTTCAGCAGCCTCAGTTTTCCAAGGAACCGGCTCCTACCCAGTGTTTGTAACGGGGCTTAAAAAAAGAGATAAACAACGTGTCTTAAATTCCTTTATCGGGTTCCAGGAATTGCAGTTCAGGGGCCTGATCCAAAGCCTATCAAAGTCAAGGGAAAGACTCTCATTGACTTCAATGCGCTTTGGATCAGGCCCTGCCTGATATGCTGCTGTTGTAACAAAGTTCATTACTGGCTTCCCTTAACAATTTACAGAAATGTCTCTCTCCTTCATTTATAAGCTTCCTTTCATTAAACAGAAAGGAACAGCTCATCTTCTGCAGGAGCCTGTAGCAAAACTGCTCATGGTTTTAACAGTATAAAGATCAGAGCTTTCTACAGCTGGAAGGAAGGACTAAAGCATAAGTCTACTCTCCAGGAAGACGGACTCTTGCTCCTTAAATGAGGTCCGTGATACAGGCCCGGTGCTTTCTCCTGCAAAGCTACATTCTGCAAATTCAGCTCCAACACATACACAAAGGAAATCAGCTGGTTTCCAAGATATGGTTGGATGCATGAATGCCTGGACAGTACACATCTCCTTTCAACCCAGTGCACCTCTAACGGGGAAACAGGAAAGCATCAGAGGTTATCCACAAACAAGTGAAATTCTATCAGACTCTTTTTCTGTCCCTTTATCTTAGGTACAAGGCAGATGAAAAACAGAATTATTTGATTTTCAGGACACTGCACACGCCAATCTGCATGCAAAAATGCAATGACGGACACCATGTGACCCTATAAATAATGGCAAAAGCAAATGGCCACTGGGATCATAGTCAAATACATAGGGAAGGGCAGCGAGTGACCTGCCACTGACATCCCCACATTCTGTTGCTCAATTCCAGTCTGAGGAACTATTCAGTGAATAATTTGCATCTTGACTCATCCTTAGTGAAGCCCCATGCAGTAGGCTAGAGTCAAGTGTGCTGGATCTCTGCAGATCATCCTGGTCTAAACACCCATAGAACTTATACTCGGTTTTCTGCATTCTTTCCTCATACAACTCAGTGCCAGCACCCCTTCACCCCCACCTGCTGAAGTGAACTCAAAAAACTATCTTCACATGCTCCTGTTGAAAACTACTGTTGCGCCCCACATAATTCAGCTTTTTCTCCCCCCAGTTTTAACGCCACTGAACTCTCTTCTGGTTTCATGTTTAAAAATGAGATTTACCTCAGAAACGATGAATCATGTTAGGCTCCAGCACAAGCTTTGCACAGAACATCTCACGACAACTTACCACTCTCTTGAACTCCTCTTCCGTGAAGTCCAGGAACTGCTTAGCTATTTTGTAATCAGTCTCAATTGAAGAATTAAAAATGAGCGGGTCATCAGAGTTCAGGGAGTAATTGGCTTTATCATTCATAAACCTGGGAAAACAATTTAAAGTGGGACAAATATTAAAGTTCGAATAGTTTGTGTTTTTCCAAGTGTAAAATACACTAAAAATTCCACAGCTTTCCAACCAATTTGGCTACTTTGTATCTAGCTAGATAAACAAATTCCTATCAAAGCTGTAGTTTGCATTCCAAAACTTCACGTTGCTATTCACCATCCTACTTTTTAAATGCAACAACAAACCATTGGTTGGACAGATGTTCAAAGTGTCTGGCCCCACGACCCGCTCCAGAGCCCACAGCAATGCACTGCAATCTGGGGCTTAGCCTCCTGTCTGCTCAGAGCAGGGGCCTGAGGCGGGCAGAAAGCTCTCCTTAAGGATAAAAATCTATCAGCATATTTGTTACAGCTCCTCTGAACTGGTCCCTTAGCCGATGCACAATGCTCTGACAAATGGTTAGAACTTGCTTCTCATGTGAAGTAATAAAGCAGCTATACATAAATGAAGCCTGAGTTAGTTACTTGAAAATAATATATTTAAACATCTTACTGAATTACTGGGTGTTTCCTAAAGTCTGGATCACATGCTCCAGTCAGGATACTGGACCAAGGACAGGTCTATATGTGTATGGGGCAAAAAAAAAGGCAGAGTCAGTCTCTTCCATAATACTGCTGCACACAAATTCGGAAGCTCTCCAGGCAGGGACTGGGCCTGAAAAGCACCATGTAGATTTATAGCTCTCTGAAAACAATAATGATCATCAAATCCCAGCCTCTGCAACAAGCATTTATCCCCATGTCTGCTGGATATAAACATTTTTGAGCACTTTTATTTCCCGGCTATGCATTTCTGCCCGTACACAGAAGCCCCTTATCATTCCCATCCCACCTCTCCCTCCCACCCCACCCCACCCCACCCCACCCAGCCATTCTGGTAGAACAGCCCCCATCAGAGGGAGCAGTGAGCTATGACTTTGCCATGTATAAAGGAAAGCCTAGCTAGGAAAGTGACCACAGCCATCTGCTCAGGATGGTTTTACAGTAGAACCTTGGAGTTACAGACACCTCAGGAACGGAGGTTATCTGTAACTCTGAAATGTGCATAGCTCTGAACAAGACCTTAGGGACTTCAACCACTGGGGAGTTGGGGCTGCAGCCCTTGGGGGGCTGGGGTGGAAGGGTCAGGGCTTCTGACCCTTGGTAGCACAAGGACTTAGGACTTTAGATCTGGGGAGAGCGCTGGGGCTCAGGGCTTCAGTTCCCTGGCTCCGCTCTCTGTTTCAGCCTCAGAGGGGGTGCCTGGGCTCAGAGCTTCAGCTCTGCAGCTCTGTTCCCAGCATCTGCCCTGCAGGGGGTTCTGGGGCTCCCCACGGCTCCATTCTCCGTTTCAGCAGGGCGGGGGGCACTGGGGCTCTAGCTATGGGGAGAGTGCTGGGGTTGAGGCCTGGAAAGGAGCCAGGGGCTGAAGCCCTGAGCCCCGGTGCTCCAGAGCGTCAGAAGCCTTGATACCTGCCCCCTGCCTGGAGCCCTGACCCTCCTCACCCTGTGGCTGCAGCCCTAACCACCTGCCCCCCGGCTGAAGCCTCAAGTCCCAGGGCTAAAGCCCTGAATGAATAAAGTATTTGCTTTTTGTGCGTGCGTGTCTCTGCTGCTGCCTGATTACTTCCCATTCCAGCAGGTGTCCGGTTGACCAGTGAGCCCATAACTCTTGTGTTTGTATCTTTGAGGTTCTACTGGACTGGTTAGTATATACTAAAGGCCGAGACCAGGTTTTGTTCTTTTGCACGTCTGAGGAAGACATGCTCCCAAAGCTGGGACCTTTTAGAAGCACCAGCTTCTTCAAGATCTCACCTGCCACCACTCTCCTCACTGTGACTCCTGTGAGCCTAACACCATGGCCACTCACCCTCTGCCTGGGAAGGGGTAAAGGCATCTCTCTACTCAGAGAGCCAGTGCTGCTCCAAGGATCAGCTGAAGATAGACTAGATAATAAAGGCTCCCTTTCCCCAGGCTGAGCATGACGTGACCTCTGGCACTCAGCACAGAGTGAGATCCAAACTTGTATGCCCTTGTTGACATCGCATTTCTGCTCAACAGCCCAGTTAGCAACATGCTGGAGCCTTGTATGTCTGTTTTCCACCATAGCCTCAGATAAATACAAACTGTGGTGTGGCAGGCAGATTTCACTCCAAACGCTGTCAGCGCTTGGACTCCAGGTGGCAGCAATTTCACCCCTATAGTAAAGGCATTTATGTCCATGCTCATCATCCAAAGTGCTGACTTGTCATGCAACCCAAATGAGGGCAGATCTCTTACCCTCAGTCAGAACAAGGCAATGGTTACACAACTGCCACCCCTGCAGAATTAGTCATTACCTCAAAATGCATCTTCCTACTCAACAGCTCCCTATAAAGGGCTGGGTCTTCCAGGACATGGTAGCTGTGGCCGATCCGTTCTGTCTTCAGAACATTGATTGCCTGAAGAGAATATAAAACATGTAAAGTCTCAGCTCTGTGCAAGGGCCTGACTCCTGCTCCCCAGAGGATCAGGCCGGCCCACAGGAGCTCCTGAGCCCTCCAAGCCCCATACCAGGACTCCAATCCACTGCCTGCATGACATGGGGGCCCAGCTCCTAGGAGGGCCTGATCCTTCCGAGCGCTATACAAGTCTCCATCTCTCGCTCCCTCTTTGTATGATGCACAGACTCTGCTCCAGGGTGGATAAAAATCAATGATTTAAAAAAAATCGGATTTTTTTTATTTAAAATGGATTTTTTTGATAAAATGCTTTTTGAGGAAAACACCTATCTAAAGATAAAGATATATTTTTGAGCTATACTGTCTCATCATGGAATAGGGATGATAAATTCTAATTCTATAGTATGAGACAATATATTCATGTAATGTCTAAGAAAAGTTTTGTAAATGTGTTCCAATAGTTCATGGATTAGGGACCCAATCTTATGCGGTTCCAGGGGCTTCTGTATAGATTATTTAGGTTAATCTTTCTATCTACCCAATGGGACTCAGTGCTCAATCTAGAAGATACCATCAGAGATGCTTAGTTTTGCTGTTGAAGAAAAAAATCCAGAATACATAACGTTGTTGTTTTAGTTAAATAAAACAATTTATATGTCTGTCTGGTGATGTTCTCCTCCTAGTACAGCATGGCAAGAAAATCTTCCAAATATTAATGATTAACCTGTTGAATTGGAGATAGTTCACCTCCCAATGACTTCATAAATATCTGCTTCAATTACCTTTGGTAAATGAAATAACCAAACAATCATTCATTTTCCGATATAGCTGTAAAACTAATCGGATAAGTTTTCAAAATAAATCACTTAAAAATGTATAGTGTGTACCTTCTAAAAATGAAACCTACATCTATCTCTGAGCCGTGAAGAATATGTATTAAGGTTATAACAACCAACAAGAAAGCATTTTTATGTGGAAATCCACGATTAAATCGAGTCTTCCTAACTAGTGATTTAAATCAAATCCACCCTACTCTGCTCCCTTAGAGCAATGGGGGGATTTGGCTCCCAGGGGCTACTGAGTGCTGGGCCAGGATTTGGCCCTAGCTACCTTTGTTCCCTGCATTACAATACAGAGTATTCTGCAGCTCTGCTGTAACTTATTCCACTGCCCTGCCCTGGGGTTTCTTACCTCCTTGATGACAGAGGGTGACCCAACCTCCCCAGCATGGACGGTGCGATGAATGCCACACCTTTCAGCTTCCTGGAAAAACCCACATGAAGCAAAGAATGAAAACGCTGCTGTGAGTTTAGGGAGGCACAGAGGCAGGGGCGGGGGGGGGGGGGAAGAGATGTGAACAAACTATCAGGACAGCAGCCCCACCACCGACTACTCTCTGCCTTCAAGACAGAGCGAATGCTTTCAACAGATCATTAGGCTGAGAGCTCTAGAGCAGCCAAGCGCTCCAACCCCAGGAGTAACGACTGTGGAGCAACACAATCAAAACGAGAAGAAAATCAATTACCAATCTCAGACAGCGTAGGAGCTGGGTAGGTGAGTGTCTGGGAAGCCCAGCCTGCACTAGGCAATGAAAGCAATCACCAGCTGGCAGTTATTCATAGTCCACATGCAGCGAGTTTGGTGAGTCTCAGTCCAGTCCCTGGTGTCCACATCACACAAACACCCCCACAACTACAACTATCCCTCTTGCTGGCAGTCTCAGCAGATAGACCAAGGACTAACTGAGCCTTGGAGATTCTCCTCCCCTGGAGGCACGCTGGCTGAGGTGATGGGCAGGGGGGAAATTCCCACTGCTGTCGCCTGCGCCGTACCTGTTCTAGAGAGGAGGACCTGCTGTCTCAGAGGCTCTCAGCATGGCACTATTCATCAGTGACTAAACAGGATTCTACGGATCCGGGAAATCCCAAACCCAAAAGTCCTGAGTGTGGAAATGGGCACTGAGCTGATATTATAGGGATTTTACCAGAGGCAGCATGCACATACACACACCCCCTTCAGGAAGTTGCTGTTTTGTATTACTGAATTTTTCACATGCTTTGTGAATTTTCCACTTGGTTTGCAGTCACTGCATATCCAGTCTCTGCTCTGAACTACTGGGTAAGACACGGCTCCGCTTGGTATGTTAATAAGAAAAGTCTAGTTGCGTCTATTTGAAATTAAATCGAGACTCCCTGTGTCTGCAATGATAGCTTTGTTTTAACACACACTTGTCGTATGTCCTGCACAGAACAGGGACTCAGACAGTTACCCCGAAGGCTGACCATTCAGTCAGGGCTAAGCTTACCCTCCCTTCCCTTCACGTTGGCCTTTCACTCGTGTCAGAAAGCCTGACAAATTGGAACTTTTGTTCCTTTTGTGTTTCTCTGAGTCTGCTAATTTGGGGCGTTCTGAGGATGAACAGATTAATCCAACCCCCCCTGAAATCTATGGAATGACTCCAGCAGGCTTTGGACTGGGCTCTGTACTATCAGAGCGCAATGCTCCTCCTACTGATCCCTATGTTTGATGAAGTAAGAGTCAATGAGAGTTTTGCCATTGTCTTCAATGAAGCATGGCAGGGCCTTCAGGTTAGGGCTCTGAGCAATGTGTTTCAGAGAACCCAGAGTCAACAAGACAAAATCCGTGTTCAGGCAAAACTCCTGCTGAAGTCTGTGGGAGCTTTGACTGTGCCAGGACTGCAGGAGGTGGCTCTGAAGCCAGAGGCCTTAAAGATGAACAAAGTTTTGTTTTAAACACTATTTTGTTTCCAACGTGTGTTAAATGTACAGGCCAGCTCTCAGGGCAAGGACACCCAGAGCGAGTCTCCCTGCCTGCCCAATTCCCATCATTTTGCCAGCTCACTTTACCAAAGTCACGCACATGAAGCAAATTAAGAGGCAATGTGTCTGCTCACTTTTATTGTTCATTTATGTATCCCCCTTTGGTGCACTACGTGGATTAGAAAACAGCGAGATGGGCAGAGATTTCTGTGGGTGTGGTGGGGGGGCGCTGGGGAGGAGGGAAGCCAGGAATACCTGCCACCCCTCCACTCAGGGGAT